AGTGGTAACTTGTTGTTCTCCTCTAAGTTCTTAGTAGTCCCGTGTGTGGGCAAGGTCGAGGCACACGTGTATAAAGCGACCACGGTATAGGGGCCATTGTGTTTTTACTGTTGTTTACCGCTGTGTATTGTTGATTACTGTTGTTATTGCTGAATGATGTGAGATGTGTGCTGTTATATTTATTAAGCTGATGTTGTTAAGATGATTGATGTGTTGATAGTCGTAGCTGCTTATCATTCATATTTTATATATGTATGTTGTTTCTTTTCACTAGCTTACCCTTTATTGTTTCCATGTGGTTTGGACTGCGATGATCATACTATGTATGGGAGCAGAGCAGAGTTAGGTTGGTGTGCTGAGGAGAGTCTACAGCTGGCAGATGGAGTTTATTTTTCGTTGTTGTATTTAGCTACTTAGTGTAGCATTGTTGGTTATATTTTGTACACTCTGACTTTAACCAGATTTAGACCTTGTATATATATATATATATATATATATTCTAGACACTATATGTATATACTTGTTCTTTTCTATGTGATGTTCTGATGTGCTGTGCTGTGTGTAATGACCAGTCAAGTTGTTACACTTTAGTACTCATGCTGAGCCGTGTGTAGTGACCAGTCGGGTCATTACATTTATAGTGTTCTTTTACTTTTATCATTTGAGATACTGAAATTTTTTTAAGACTAATAATATGTATTATTTTTATAAAGTGATGAATGAGTTGATTTATAGAAAAATTAAAGTGAGATTTAATGGACCATTATATTATGATTTATTAAGAAAAAATAAATGAAATAATTCATTTATAATTTTTTAATAATCACTTATAAAGTTATAATCATCTATTCAATTTATTTTCATTTTATATATAAATTTTTTACATCTATTTTACTTATTATTTTTAAAATTAAGAAATATAAAATACCTCTTTTATATACAAAATTATTTTAATAATTTTATTTTTATAACTAATTTATATTTTGTTCACTGTTCATAAATCTCTAACTAATTAATAGTCACTTCTTTTAATTTTTAAATAATAAAGACATAAAGTATTTCTTTCCCACTAATATATATAATATAGATATTTCTTTTACTTTATACAATTAAACAATTGGGAAAAAGATTATACCAAACAATCAAAATAATTATTTCACTTTATTTTTTTTCTCCCTCCTTTCATTTTTTTCCCTAAAACACATACTATTATAATCTTATGAAACTCTTTATATATATATATATATATATATATATATATTTAAGTTACATAAAAATATTATTTATATATATATAGGGAGCATATCAAGTGAGAAGAAATTTAT